CTGCAGCATGCTGAGCCAAGTCAGAGCAGCTCTGGGCTGGCAGACTGACCCCTGGAGATCTCTGCCAGCTGTGGCTGTACCATCCTGGCTTAACTTCCTGCATTCCCAGCTGCACACGTAAATGCAGCACCCAGGAGCCATAAACTGTGGTGCAAACTGCACTGGAGTTTATTCAGCTGCGTTAATTTCATATGTAGATAAATCCTGAGAATGGAAAATTGCATCCTAAAGGCTAACATTTTTCAGGATGGAAATACTAAAAAACAGCACACGTGCATTTCTAACTAACTGAATATCTTTACATACAGCGATATCTTGTATTACATCGAGGCATTATTCCACATAGTGAACTAGTGAATGCCCAGCGACATTTCAGTATTAGAAGAAAAAATAATTTAAGATACGCTTTTACAAACTATGTAAAGAAAGTCTGATGTAAACACTTTGAACTGAAAATATGAATCCCCAGGGACATGTTTAAATAGCAGACACTGGTAGACCTTCAACTATAGGTGGAACCAATTGCACCATCTGACACAAAATCTAACTAGCACTTATCATTAGACCTCAATGTGACAAATAATTTTAAAGGTTCTTGTTTGTTGCTAAAATACAATTTGCCATTTTAAAACAAAACCTTTCTGAGTTATTTCCTCTTTGTAATGTTTGCATGTAGCTTTCATTTGACCTAAAAGAACATTCCAGGCCTTCATCCAGAGAACTAATAATTCCCAGGGCAAGGGCAGGAAACAGAAGGTGGAGGAAGAAGGGGGAGCCCAGAGATCCCAGCCATCACAGCAGCAGGAACAATGGTGGGAGTAGAGGCCAGGGGGGAATCTCACCAGTTGTGTGTTAACCCCCTTGTGGGCTGCCAGTTGGAGAGCACTGAATTAGCATACAATTTTATCTCATTATAAATCCCATTATGAATCAGCCTGTAGGGGACACTAGTACACTCAAATTCGGTACACTTAAGGATGCATAACAGAAGGCTCACTACTCATGTCCAGTGGTTAAATGGATTTGAGCTATCCAGCAAATCCTACATTATTAAATA